AGTCAGACAGAGTGTCCATGGTGCCCACTTCTGGGGTTCGCAGCCGACGTTCACGTCGAGCCAGGCAAAGGCAGCTGGAGTTGAGGCCTCACGGTGTTGGAGTTTCTCCCGGAGCGAAGCCGATCCAAGTTGGGATTGTTATTAAGCCATGAGTTTCGACCAAGATGAGGAGAAAGGACAAGAAGTTTTTGCATTTCCTAGATTCTAGACCTAAGGCGTTGGGGTCAGTCATTTGGTGTTTTGTTGGAGTCAGGGCGTCTTGGTACATTATGGTCAAACTTCATTGCAAGATTCAGGGACGTTCACTGATCGCAGGGTGTTGCACAGCCACTGGAGATCCAATCAAGATCATCATGATTGGATTTCTTTTGTGGCCCCAATCGGCACATGATCCTCCATAGACTTGCTGCTATTAAGAACGTCTATTATTAGATTTGTTATGACTTGTTCTTTGGTAAGATGCCACCAACCACTATAGATGAGGTAGGACTACTCCCCTACTGCACGAGAGATTTTCACGGTCGGTGGCCTATTCCCCATCTCTCGGCTCTCACCTTCATCGGCCGGAGAGTGGTCGATCGGCACGGTTCGCGCTGGGCGTGAGAGTGGTGGATCTGTAGCTCGACCTGAGGTGTGTTTGAACTGATCTTGCCCTGGTCTGTTGAGCTGAGAAACTCATCACCAGGGATCCAAAGGTCAGACAGGTCTCCAGGTCTCCAGGTGTTTTCAGCGTTTTCGATCGCTGCCAGGATGGATGAGCCCAGCAGGACGGATGAAGCAGACACGTCGGACACGTGCCTTGTCGACAAGGGCGAAGTGGGCGGTCTTCTTGGGGCTCAAACCTTTCAGACGATTTGACATGTTCCTGGGTGTCCTGGGTTGAGACTCCAGATGGCTTTTGTTCCCCACCTGTCAGGTGAGGCTTGGATTGACGGCAATCCGCATGTCTTTGTCCGGCTAGTCTGTCAATACATATACCCTGCCTTCTTCCTAGTCTGCCTTCTTTCAGGGTGGGGATCACTCGAAGGGTTGGTTTGGTACAGCATCGATCCTTAAAGTCAAGAGGCACTTCACTTCTCTTGCTGCCTTCATAGTTTTCAACCCTTGATTTGATAGAGGGTGCAGTGACACCAAGGACCACTGAGATTGTTTTCCTTTTTTTTTCAGATGTTACAAGAAGAGATCACCCACAAACCCAAGAAGGGGAATTCAATATCTCATGCAGGGGTAATAAGTGAGAGTCATTGACACTCCAAGGCACATGCATAGGTTTTTGAGCAAGTTACATGGGTCATGCTACCCTCTTACAACCACTTGTTTTCAGGTTTGCCTTTTGTTATACTGCACTTGGATAGCTAAACTTCCCACACTTTACAGACACACTTTGTTTGATTTACAGGATGAGTCTGTATTGTTGCAGACCTGGACTCAACTGGGGGCGTCGCACAAAAGGGCCGCAAAGAGGTGGCTTGCGGCCTGGTAGGTCTTGGAGGTCGAATTCGGATGCAGTGATATGGTAGGTCTTGGTTCAGCATTCGGCCACACGGGTGCTGGAAACTGATCTTGGCATTGGTTGTCTTGTAAAGAGCATAAAAGGACAGAAATAGGACACATTTCAGGTAGCAGGTAGATGTTTCAGGTAGCTCTGAATGGTGGTCTTGACAGACATTGGTTGTCTTGGATATAGGTGTTTCAGGTAGATCTGAACAAGCTGACCAGATCATTGCCAGGCCAGAGCTTCTTCTACACCACGTGGGTGGGGCGCCGCTTTCAGGACTTCATGGCGTCTCGACAAAGGACTTCTGGGCGAGTTCTGGAGCGTTAAAGCTTTCAGAGGATGTGATGTGACATGTTCTTCAGTCTTAGGTGTCCCACGTCAATCCAGACAGCTTCTGCCGGGTGTGCGAAGTCATCAGACAGTGGCACCAGTGAACACTGAGATTGTTTTTTTTTTGTTTTTTTTTTTGGGGGGGGCTTTTTAGAAGCCACAAGAGATCAACCAGAAGCCGAAGAAGCTAGATTCAATATCTCATGCAGATGTGATCATTGACGCTTCAGTGTCGGATAATCACACATATTCACAAATTATACATTTGATGTTCTGACCCGTCCACTAAAAAGTTAATTGGAGGAGTGGGTGACCTACGAATTACATTTTCTCATTTTTCCCGAATGCGTAGCGAAGGGTTCTCGTTTAACTCTTGGGGGTCTGGGGGTGGAGCTTTGTTCGCGACCCGTTGCTTCTATGTTCGCAACCGTCCGCAACCGTTCGCAACCGTCCGCAACCGTCCGCAACCGTCCGCAACCGTCCGCAACCGTCCGCAACCGTTCGCAGTAGAGCGCTAAGGCGCTGCCATTGGGGGAAGCTTTTGCAAGTGACTATGCATGGATGTGTCACGTGTGAGTTTGCGACGCGAGTCCATTGGGATTTGCGTGAAAAACACATGTCGCGCAAGAAGCGTGATGCATTTCGCTGCACAGGCGCAGCGTTTCGTGAGATCCGCAGTTTGCGTCGCAGTTCCATTGGGATTAGCGTTTGGAGAGTCGTGTGTTTGGGGTGTTGGATGTGGCCGTGCCATTGGGATTTGCGTTTCAGGGTGTGGCATCGAAGCTCTGTTTTCGTGACAAGTCTCAGCTGAAATGCCGATTTTGGTGGATGGGAGTGTGCTCAGAATGTGTCGAAATCATTCCAAACGTGTGGTGTGGTGCAAATTTTGTTGAAGCTCACATGAGATGATATTGTCACTTTTCATGGCAGGCGCAGTACTTTGTGCGGGTTTTGAGGCGTGGAAGTGTGATTTTCATGGCAGGCGCAGGGAATCGTGAGGTTGCGAGGTGTGACGGAGGTGACATTGCGTGGCAGGCGCAGTACTTTGCGCGCGTTAGACGTGTGGACGCGGAAAGATGCGTGGCAGGCGCAGGGAATCGTGAGGTTGTGAGTTGTGGTAGAGGTGACTGTCGTTGTCTCATTGGGATTGGCGTGTGAGCGGGTGTTGTTTGGAGGGGCTGGAATCGCGAAACTGCTTGGCAGGGCTGCGTGATGTGTGTGCTCCGATGGGTGTTTCCGCTTGACTTTTAGAGGAAGTCTCGTACGAAACGCTTGTGTTGGAGACTTTGACACGTGGGTTTTTGAGGAAGTCTCGTACGAAACGCTCGTTTTGGAGAGTTGACACGTGACTTTTGGAGGAAGTCTCGTACGAAACGCTCGTTTTGGAGACTTGACGTGTGACTTTTGGAGGAAGTCTCGTACGAAACGCTCGTTTTGGAGACTTGACGCGTGACTTTAGGAGGAAGTCTCGAACGAAACGCTCGTCTTGCAGCCTCGAAGCGTGACTTTAGGAGGAAGTCTCGTACGAAACGCTCGCGTGACTGCTTCTAGTGTGTGGGCAGACCGTGTCGCGACACGAGTGTCCCAAGAGTGTCCCACAAGAGTGTTCCACAAGAGTGTCCCGCAACCGTGTCCCACAAGAGTGTCTCAAAAGAGTGTCCCTTAAGAGTGTCCCACAAGAGTGTCCTATAAGAGTGTCCCACAAGAGTGTCCTACAAGAGTGTCCCACAAGAGTTTCCTACAAGAGTGTCCCACAAGAGTGTCCTACAAGAGTGTCCTACAAGAGTGTCCCACAAGAATGTCCGACAAGAGCGTCCCATAAGAGTGACCCACAAGAGTGTCCTATAAGAGTGTCCCACAAAGAGTGTCCTACAAGAGTGTCGTGTAAGAGTGACCCACAAGAGTGTCGTACAAGAGTGTCTCACAAGAGAGTGTCCCAGAAGAGTGACACACAAGAGTGTCCTTTTAGAGTGTCCCACAAGAGTGCCCTACAAGAGTGTCCCACAAGAGTGTCCTACAAGAGTGTCCCACAAGAGTGTCCCACAAGAGTGTCCTACAAGAGTGTCTCACAAGAGTGTCCTACAAGAGTGTCCCACAAGAGTTTCGTACAAGAGTGTCCCACAACAGTGTCCCACAAGAGTGTCCCACAAGAGTGTCCCACGAGAGTGTCCCGCAACAGTGTCCCACAAGAGTGTTCAACAAGAGTGTCTCACAAGAGCGTCCCTTAAGAGTGTCCTACAAGAGTATCCCACAAGAGTTTCCTACAAGAGTGTCCCACAAGAGTGTCCTACAAGAGCGTCCCACAAGAGTATCCTACAAGAGTGTCCCACAAGAGTGTCCTACAAGAGTGTCCCACAAGAGTGCCCGTCGCACAAGAGTGTCCCACAAGAGTTTCCTACAAGAGTGTCCCACAAGAGTGTCCCACAAGAGTGTCCTACAAGAGATTCCCGCAAGAGTGTCCTGCAAGTGACCCACAATGTCCTACAACAGTGTCTCACAAGAGTGTCCCCCAAGAGTGTCCGACAAGAGTGTCCCATAAGAATGACCCACAAGAGTTTCCTACAAGAGTGTCACACAAGAGTGTCCCACAAGAGCGTCCGACAAGAGTGTCCTACAAGAGTGTCCCACAAGAGTGTCCTGTAAGAGTGAGCCACAAGAGTGTCCCACAAGAGTGTGTCACAAGAGTGTCCCACAAGAATGTCCGACAAGAGTGTCCCATAAGAGTGACCCACAAGAGTGTCCTATAAGAGTGTCCCACAAAGAGTGTCCTACAAGAGTGTCGTGTAAGAGTGACCCACAAGAGTGTCCTACAAGAGCGTCTCACAAGAGAGTGTCCCATAAGAGTGTCCTACAAGAGATTCCCGCAAGAGTGTCCCACAAGAGTGTCCTGCAAGTGACCCACAAGAGTGTCCTACAAGAGTGTCTCACAAGAGTGTCCCCCAAGAGTGTCTGACAAGAGTGTCCCATAAGAATGACTCACAAGAGTTTCCTGCAAGAGTGTCACACAAGAGTGTCCCACAAGAGTGCCCCACAAGAGTGTCCTACAAGAGTGTCCTACAAGAGTGTCCCACAAGAGTGTCCTGTAAGAGTGACCCACAAGAGTGTCCTACAAGAGTGTGTCACAAGAGTGTCCCACAAGAATGTCCGACAACAGTGTCCCATAAGAGTGACCCACAAGAGTGTCCTATAAGAGTGTCCCACAAAGAGTGTCCTACAAGAGTGTCGTGTAAGAGTGACCCACAAGAGTGTCCTACAAGAGTGTCTCACAAGAGAGTGTCCCATAAGAGTGACACACAAGAGTGTCCTATAAGAGTGTCCCACAAGAGTGTCCCACAAGAGTGCCCCGTAAGAGTGGCCCACAAGAGTGTCCTACAAGAGTGTCCCACAAGAGTGTCCTACAAGAGTGTCCCGCAAGAGTGTCCTACAAGAGTGTCCCAAAACAGTGCCCCGCAAGAGTTTCCTACAAGAGTGACCCACAAGAGTGTCCTACAAGAGTGTCCTACAAGAGTGTCCCAGAAGAGTGTCCCACAAGAGTGTCCTACAAGAGTGTCATTTGGACATATGTAACTGTTCGAACGTGTTTGCATTCGGGTTCGTGGGCTCCATCTTGTTTTAATTCTCCGACAATTTGTCGAATTGTTTGGTAAAAGCCCAAGTCGGACAAATTAAATGAATGCATGTTCTCAGCGTACCGTGGATCACGCTAGGGTCATGTCTACTTGAGAAATTATCAAGAGGTGGTCGTGGAGACGTTACACACCCCTCAATCCTCAATTAATATGATCAAGATGAGTTAGGCCATCAATTGTCCTCATTCGTATAAAGTGGTCCATGCTCTTTTTGGTGCCTGAATCTCAAATGCATGTGTGTGTGTGCACGTTTGGAGTGTAAATCTCAGTTCCTCAGCCAGCGATACAATTCTGTACACCG